ACCTTAAAGAGTTACCTTTAAGAGAAGCTGGTTTTTTATCAAAGCTGATACGATGATTAGACAGCGACTTATCTTTTCGGCTGAATTTTAGTTAACTTTCACCGGCAAACGACCTCGTAGGAGCAACCACTGATCTCTATAAAAGACAGTATTTTCTAGTGAGCAGTGTGGGAGTAATGCGACAATATCACCCTTAATATCACCGCATTTCTAGACGAATGTCGCCTGTTTTGCTTGCTTGCCCAATGGCCTGCCTCGCTTACAGCATATCCCATTACTTTCGCATACGACGATCCTTTTGAAATTATTAAGGGTAAGCAGGCAGGCCATTGGTTTAAATTTTTTTTACCAATTTTGAAAATGTAATTCATTCACCGACAAATCTCTTGTAAATATCATTTCAGAAAAATAAATACCTATCATGTAATAAGTACCTTTTATTTATCATAAACGTGCATTGTAAGTGATAACTAGAGATTAATTGCAGTAGATCTATTGCTCAAACCTCTCACCTTTTTGCGCCTTGTTTTATCTCTTCTATTGCAGTAAATAGTAAGTGAAATCCAATATCCAGCAAAAAGTTTCTATGCTCAGTGAACCTACTGCGCCCCATTTCTCTATTTTACCCGTGAGAACCAAGCCCTTTAAATGGCCCGGGTTTTGATTTAAAATCTAATAAAACTTGTCAACTTGATAAAACGGGAGAATCTCCTAAGAATTTTACGAATTAAAGCCATGAAATTGTGCTCAGTGAACCTACTGCGCCTCATTTCTCTATTTTACCCGTGAGAGCCGACCCGCTTCTCCATTTTATCCCGAGAGCCTATATTTAAACTATTAGTCAACACAAAGGTGACAATTATTCGGTAATTGAGTGTTGACAATAGGATAAAACAGCGGTTAATCCAATTTCTCTATTTTACCTCTGACCGGAAATATTTCTCTATTTACGCTCTTCTCTATTTTACCCGGCTCGCGACCAATATGGGTGAACCACAGTGACTTGATTGAGAAAGAGTATGTGTTTGAAGTGTACATTCCAGGGCTTCCGACGAAGGGGGGCTAGGGGCCATGTACCCCCACCTTTTGCAAAGCTTTAGAGTTTATTTCAAAATGCGTTGTTATTAGTGTTAAATTTCCCCTTCAGAGACGGCGCCACGAAAATTTACCTTTGAGGGCTAAGAATCAAGTTTAGTGACATAGGAGGACCCACCATGGTTGGGTCCAACGCGAAAGATAATATTTGAAATGAAGCCTTCTAGAATGGCTAAAAATGCATCTCCAGGACTAAAATTTAACAAAATACCATACTGCTCAGAACAGACAGCTCGACAATTTTCAGAAAAACATTGATCATTGATTTTAAGAAAAAATTTGGGAGGGGAAGAGTCATGCAAAAACTCTGGTGACAAACGTTGGGAAAAGGAAGTAAGGGTGACCATTGGTTCAGAATGCACATCTCAATGACGTTGAATCAAGATATTGAATTGACTGAGAGAATTTTACTTTCTGAACACACATGTGCATCTTCTCTTTCTCGAGTATTTTCAGCATGCCATGATTAACCATTAAAATTGACATTGCAATGATAGAGAAATTTAATTACTGAAATGATGCAAATACAAGACAAATAATACAAATATATCTCAATAAGTTAGTAAATAGATCAAGTAAAATCAAGCAGTATATAAGCACTTTATTATCTTTTGATTTCATACTCTGTTTTAAAAAATAATAGAAAGGAAGGTAAAAAAATTTGGATCTCTGAAAAAGTGGGGGGATTTGGCCCCCCAGCCCCCTCTCCACTGGTGCCGTGCCTGCCCTTTGCCCCTCCAACCTGTGTTTGAGCTAATGCATTCAGTGCCGTCGGAACGAAATTCATATTTGGTGGGGGGCTGCCTATTGTATTCCTTCTCAGTAAATACATTGTCACAATGGAAACATACAGCTTACTGGAGGGGGCTCCAGCCTCCCCCTCCCCCCCGTTCCAATGACCCTAACATTGATTGATATTGCATATTTAGAGAAATTTCATAATGCTCTTTTAGGTTATTGGATGCAATTTCAAGAATATTGAAAATAGATTTTGTGACGTCACCACTGACTCATGTTCATCATTTGGACATTACAGCAGCCCCCTCTCCTTTTATGCCATTCTCATTCTTAACTCTCTGCAATCAGTGGCGTGGTGGCAGGGGGGGCCAGGGGGCCATGGCCCCCCCCTGAATAGGGGCGCAAACGGAGATGAGGGGGCGCCAAAATTGTTTGCTTGTAATATTTGGCTAGGAACATCAAAATTGATCGTACATGGGTAGAACACTTTGCTGTAACTTGCTGTGAACAATCTAATAAAACGTGTGATTCTACAGTCGAAGCACGTTGCGCTGCCATGACCCAATCAACATTTGTGTCATATGTTTTCGTGTTAACTATGTATGTGGCTTCATGTTTAGCACGCCAACTAACGAAGAATTTACGTATGCCAAAAAATGTTTCCATTAGTTTGTACTCGGAACGCCAAAAAGCCTGAGTGTACGCCAAAAATCTTCGGGCCAAAGTACATGGAAGGCACTCTGGCAATCAATACAGCAGCTTTTTGTTATTAACATCGATGTGAACCAAAGGTCACCCTTTTTTCCCCAGCGCATGAATCTACCCCTCCCAAATTTTTCAAAAAAATCAAAAATCAATGTTTTGCTGAGCATCGTCGAACTGTCTATTCTGAGCGGTGTAGTAATTTGTTAAATTTAGTCTGGGAGATCCATTTTTAGCCATTCTAGAAGGCTTGATTTCAAAAATTTTCTTGCGCGTCGGACCCAACCATGGTGGGTCCTCCTTTATCACTAAACTTGATCCTTAGCCCAACACCAGATTCAATTTTGTGCCGCCGCCTCTGTCCGATTCAATAGTGCGATTCAATGCTTGAAACTTTCATGTTTTTTGAAAGAACTACTATTTAATATCTACTAAAGAATAACAATTTTGAACCATGTTTGCATATCATACATCATATATGCGATGACACTAGGCTGATAAAATCGCCCATAAGCAGTGGCGAAAGGTTACCTTTAGTTAAAAAACTAAGGAGCCCGAAACAATAATTTGCTCTACGTTATTTTACTCTGAAGCTGGTATTCTGGATATAATAAATGAGTAGCCTGTATGAAACATCAGTGTAATTGAATAAAATGTCTTTTGCTTAGTATTTTATGTTTTGCCTGCCGTATTTCCTCGTAAATAGGCCGACTCTCGAAAATAAGCCAATTCAAAATAGCTTGATATTTTACGGAGCCACGATCGAGAAGGTCAAATGTTAGGATTACATAACTTTTCCATTCATATTCGCATTCTTAGTCAAAACTTATTTATGAAAGTTTGGATTCAAATTGCAAAAATCGATTTCCCTTCTAAAAACACATGCTTTATATAACCACGATATTCTGTGACAATATATAGATAGGGCGCAAAAATCGACTTGGCCACCCCAGGGAAAACATAGCCTTTTGTACCCAGGTTTCAGGGTAACTGCTCTTGACAATCATTTAAATTCTATATTTGTTATATATCATCACAAAGATACACCTTCTTGGGGTGGGGTGTCCAGGGTAAGCCCAAACCAAGATTCTTCGCATCCCGTTGAGCACCCTTTTCTCTCTGGAGCCCAGCGCTGGCAAATGCCAATACCATCCCAGTATACCTTGGCAATCTACTTTTGCTTATCGAAATTCTATGATTTGAATTTTTATGTAATCGAATGACTTGCTTGATCTCATGGAGGCTGGATATAAGAATAACCATTATGGAAAAATTTACAAATCAATTTCAAAAAGCAATTAGCCTTCTATTTTTAGAAGTATAGTTCTTCTGTTCAAAATCTTCAATGTTTATGATGCACTATTGTTAAACAGGTATTACTCAGTGGAGTAACAGGCCAAAGTTACCTCTAGTTAAATAGCAAAGGGTCCCGAACCTTTAGGGGCCCCTAGCAAAAATTTTCTTTGCCTTTTTCCGAGGGAAAGCAGCTGCTTGTTACACCGCTAATAAAACTATTTGGCATAATAATAACAGCCTGTACAAAGGATATACTTACCTAGGGGGCGTTAAAAATCGATGCCTTGTAGCTAATTTTGACGCTTTATTCTACATTCTACTAGTCCGCAAAGTAATGGCTAGCGTTGGCCCCTGTAATTGAAAGTTTGGCCCCCGGCTAGCCCCCTAGATTTGTAAGGCTAGATTGGCCACTGCAAATTAACTGATCCTGGGTCCATGAAAAATCAAAATTCCAGAAAATTGCATCATGTTTTGCTTTTCTTTAATAGTAGATAAGTCATGCTTTTTTAATTCTGACAGAATCCTTTTTAAAATCACATGCCCTGACGCTATTTTCAACCCCTGGGAGGGAGGGGTACTTCTATTAAGGCCTGAGAGGGGGTCCAGTCAGTTTGAGGGTCTTACCAAATGGCTACCAAATTGCCCTGATTCTATAATAACTGCTTAGCTTAGCGTGCGATTTATTATAGACAATTAACAAGATTTTATCTTTCCCGAAACAACAGGCAATTCTGAAGAAAAATGTCAAAGAAGAACCCAGGGAGCACAAAGAAATTGATGCTACCAAGAACATAGTTTCGGTTCTAATGCTACTATTTGAGGGTAATTTTTTTAAATTCCAGCCTTGGCCCTCTTTGACCCTGACTAGACCCCCCTGTTAGTCCATTCATTCAGTTTTGAGGTAATCCATGATGTTTATCATTCTTAATAAGGCCTCATATTCCTAAAATGGGGTCCTTTTCCTGCAAAGATAGGACCCTTTTCTTTGCCAGATTTCAAAGCGACCCATCGGCGGTAGGACAGTCCGCCACTTGGCGTTGGCGCTGACAGTTTTGGGCTGACTACCTAGAACGTACCTGCCAGTGAGAAGCAAGTTTACACTTACACTGTTTTCCCAATTTGCCCCTGCAATGCACAAGCTGGAGAGATTCTTTGAAGAAATAATTCAATTTCATCACAACCTGATCTATAGGATTACATGCAGGTAGAAACGTCAAATCGACTTAGCAAACGCTAAATAGAAATATTAAAACAAGAAAATACTGGAACGAAAAGCTATCAAAACAACAGTGTACTTGATTTAACCGCTGCCTTTCATAACAGCCATCAGGTGAAATCGCCGTCAAGCACATGACCTTTCAGCGCACACGTGACTGGCTCCTTCGTTCCTTGTTGATGCAAGCAATGCAGCATTATCCAACCTGACAGACCACAAAACATTCTTCATTGAAATTGGCTATTCTGAATATAAGGGGACCAAAAGAAAACAAAAAGGTCCTTGAAACGTAGTGGAGCTTGCTTCTCTAGGAGAACTGATAATGAAACTTGGCCTACGGTGAATTCTTGCTCCCTAAAGGTTGGAGGGTAAACAGAGTGAAAGCTAGCTAGTTGATGTAACAACGAAGTTATGAAAAAATTGATTTAGTGTTCTAGTGACTTCAAATGTTTGAAGAAAGTTTGTTTGGTCTGATGGGTTGGGCGTCACTGGCATTACATTTACAAGGCCATGCATCAGCTGCTGTTTCGAGAGCATCAGCTTCGCCTGTAAAGCTTGCATCAAGAGGAGTTTCTGCTTAGCAAACATCATTTGTTCTCTTTTCCTTTGTCGTCTTTCCCATTGTCTTTAGATCCCCTTTCTGCAAGAGATGAATTTCTAGAAGTTATGTAGTAACGAACTTTTCTCAAGAAATTGTCGCTCCGGATTTTCTTTTTTTCAGACTATTGCCTTTCTTTTCGTAAAGAATGGAAGCCAAACAATGGAAGTCTTTACGTACAGACTATCATGTTGTAACTACCTTTTTGAGAGCTTCAGAATAACGTACCTATTGATATATCTATTATGTATTGACATTGTATTGCAACTTTGCTGGCTTGTTATCTGCAATGCAAGCAAATTACTATTTATCCTTTATTAAAAAATCCTTACCTGCTTTGCACATTGCATGGCATTGGTGTTTATTTTGATATGTGTAGAGAATTGCATGTCTGCAAAAGAATTACACAACATTAAAACGAGCAGCAAATGCATATATATGCAACCAATCGTCAATTTCCATTTACTTGGCTTAATAAGCTGCATGTACTAACCTTACATGAGGCCAACCGAGATACGAGGCTGACTGATCAAGGAAGTATGCCAAGCGGCCACATTTGTCGAAAATGAAAAAGTCGTTTCTGCGACCATCTAACTTCTCCCAAATGTCACCGTTCTCTGCTTGATAGACTTTGAAGTCAACAGCACTTTCCAGTCTGAATTTCATTCCTTTGGCTGTCTTCTTGTTTAAAATGATGTAAGTGACATCTTTTATCTTTCTGTCGATGAAATAATAATACAGATTAGTCCCAAAACAACCAAATAAACACGTCAAGCTGCCTATAAACACAATGCAATTGCGCATTTCACTCCACTTTGTTTGTGTGTTACATCCTACCCATTAGTTACATCAGATACCTTCATAATGTATCTGCTTCTTAAATTTAAAGAAAGAGATTTTGAGCCAAAAAAGGAAAAAAATGACAAATTTCTTCTTTATGCACTTTTTTCAAAGGGCAGAAATTTTAACACAAAACTTTGACAATGCGCCAGTCTCTTTGATACATACTTTTTCTCTAGTTTCCTTTTTAACCTTTGAAGAAGAGTGGCTTGCAAGACACAATATCCGCAATTGGCATCAAGGAAAGCAAGCACTGTAATGTTCCCTGCCTTTTGAGCTTCTTGCAGAGGACTAGATCCATCTGCCTGCCACTGCGGTGGTGCCTGGCATTGCTTACTCTCTGTTGCTGTGGTAACTGCCACTGCCAAAAAGAGCCCCGCTATGGCTAGCGGGGCAAACATGACTTCTGTTGGATAAGAAAATTGATTAGGATTTCCAAGACTGTCGCATTCTAGTCATTTTATGGATGCCTTCGCTAAGCTATGCACCTTTAAGTGCTTTTTTTCTATCCAAAAAGTAATGCTTTAGCTGTCCTCAGCACCAAAAACCCCTCAAAACCCAGGCACCGCGGAGCGTTTAGAAAATTGAGGGGGGGGGGGTGGTCTAAAAAAGTGGTAGGGGGCTAAAACCGTTTAAAAAGAGGCTTTACTTGTAGTTTATTACTTGATATTTGGCATCTTTTGCCCCAGCCGTGGCTCGTTCCGCGGTGCCTGAAACCTTGAAGTAACTTCAAAAAGTGAAACTAAGAGAAGTGAGCACTGCGAATTCTATACTGAGTCATGTGATTTACGCATGCTAATTAACAAACAATCTTGGTCAGTTTATGTCCTTATCATTTCAAAAACAAATGATTGAATTTCAGTCTGATAAGAGACACGGGTCTTATATTGACGTGAAGAAATCTGGGAAATAAAATCTGTCACCGTTTATTACACCTATGCAGAAATTATGAATGAGTGTCGTCAAATCGTTTGCATTCGTTGAAAATCCACTGAGTATGCCGCTTGATGGAGAATTCAAAAGAAATAAAGGCAGCTCTTACCTTTTTACCTACGAATCTTCTTGTGCCTGAAAGCTGGTGAGACAGATTGAACCAATTTGACAGTGAAGTACAGGCATAGGCAAGCAAATGCATAATAATAGCACTTTGAACTCTGTCACATGAGAAAATCCTGGAACAAAAGAGGAAGTGGCCAACAAGCTATACTATGTCAAGGAATTAACATGTCACGCAATTGTTTGAGAATCAGTTTTAGCGGGGGGTTTAGGGGAGGAGATTGATTTAGTGGGAATTGATATAGATAAGGCCCCCCTGATAAGGGGTCTGGGGCTAAGGCCTGTGGAAGTTCTATACGAAACATTGCAGAGACAGCGCCACGAAATTGAACCTGGAGGGGGAGGCAAGATTCAAATTTGGTGACATAAGAATACCCATGGTTGGGTCCGACGTGCAGGAAAAGTTTTTGAATTAAGACTTCAAGAATGGCTAAAATGCATCTCCCAGATTAAAATTTAACAAAACACTATACCGCTCAGAAAAACATCGATTATTGATTTTTAGGAAAATTCTGGGAGGGGAGGATAGGATTCATGCGTTTGGGAAAGAAAGAAATGGTGACCTCCGGTTCAGAGTGCCCATCTATGTGAATAACAAGAAGCTGTTGTATTGACGTTCAGGGTGCATACTCGGTGCATTCCATGTACTCAAGTCAGAAGATCTTCGGTGTACATTTTCATTCATTCCATTTCACGTAAATTTTCAATTTCTAACAACGTTAATCAAGCTTTAACAAAAGGTAATAATCTGATGAATTAATACAGAATTAATACAATATGGTAAGTCAAAATATATCATTTGAAGAGGACATATGAAAAGAACTCTGGAAGAGATTTTGAGCCATGTGCCCCCGTTTACAGCAATAAGATATCTTTTGAATATGCATGATAGTATTTGCAATAATGAACAGAATTTGTTAAAGGTGTCCATATAAAAGGACTGCGTATACCCAACTTGTCAAGCCACCCATCAAAATAACAGTTTGCGATTGGTTAGTATTCTTGCGATGCAAAACTGCTCACATGAAAAGCTAACCTCGCAGCAGGATAAATAAACAGAACGACCGTAATGGCTGGGGCGATGACATGAAAAATCACGTTTCTAAAAACCCCTGCAGAGTCGCTTGCTTTAGCTGGACACATTACCTTTAAGTATAATATAAATGGTAATAAGATGGTGGAGAAGGAGGAGGGAGGAATGGAATATAAATGCAGAAAAGTGCAGTAAAGGGATCTTTTTCCAATGAATATATCCATCCATCAATAACTCTCCAATGATATTTGTTTGTAATGTTTACCAAATAAGTTTTTGGTTGTAGAATTCCGTGTGTCAGTTGGGATATTATTCAATATTTTGACTCCTGATGTTTTTATAAAGTTATAATTATATTTAGTCCTAGTTTTTGAGAAAGAAACTTTTTCAGAAGTTACTTGGCGTGTTTGTATTTTGTGGCTGTCTTTGGATAGTTGAAAATAATTCTGAAGAAATCTTCGCAGAGCCCTTTGGGTTTGTCAAACAGGAATTTGGCGCATTCTGATTATATGTGTCTTTTAGGTTTTAAGAGTTTAATTTCTTAAAAAAGTGGCCCAGAGTGTGCAGTTTGGTTTTCAAAGGATATGATTCTTGCAGCTTTCTTAAGGTTTTTGTTTAGACTCAAGTTTTTTTCGGCGTTCTGAGTGCAAAATAATGAAAATTTGTTTAGCATGCTTAAAATTTTCGTTTTAGCAGATACATATGATGATTTTTTTAGTTATAGCATTTTCATAGCAATACAAATTTGCAATTCTATATTATATATATATGAAATGAAATAAAAATGAAGTTAAAGAATGAGTACCCTCGGTACCAGACTCACTATGTATAAAATAATAGTGAGTCTGGTACCCAGGGTAAAGAATGAGCAGCAGCGCACTCACGCAAGGTAAAAATCAGCGATGGAAAGGCAAGGAATATGTTACCGCACCGCAGCAGCCTCTTGTAATGAAAATAGAAAGCAACGCTGATGTAATTTACCAAGACGACGATGTTTGTTGCTGAAGATTAAGAAGGTGGTGTTCTGGATGGGAGCTGTACCCTGGGAACCAGACTCACTATATATGAAATAAAATAGAGAGTCTGGTCTAGTGCGCCCCATTCTCGTTCTGGTGTGCTGATATTAACCAATCAGGAGCGAGTGTACAGATTTCTGTACGTTCAAAGGTCACAGCGAAACAATAAACTTAGCTCTGGTGTAAAACATTGAACAGAACAGAACATAAATAAATGCTAGCGACCGTAACGATTGAGTTTGAAGATGCTGTTAAAACTGTACTCAAAGAATATTTTCCGCATGTTGTGGAACTGAACACAGAACAGCATTGAAAGCCTTGTTTGTAGAGAGAAGAGACACCTTCGCCATATTGCCAACTGGCTTTGGAAAGTCTCTGATATTTCAGGCTGTGCCTCTCGTTGCAAAGAAATTAGGCCTTGTAGTGAAATGCAGTAGATAAGAAACACCGCAAGGGAACAAACAACAACAAACACAGTAAATCAGTTATAGCTAATATTTCGCCCGGCATACGGGGCTTCGCTTGTCGTATTGGCCATATTTGCTGTGATGACCTTCTAACGTGATGATTCTAACCGCCGCGGTGTCCAAGCGCGCTGCCTTCACAGTGAGGAAGTAGACGTTGAAAGTACACATAATTTATGAGGAAAATTACAAAAGACTTTTTTTAAGTTGTATACGATATTTGATAATGATTAACATTTAATAACTGCATTGTGCTAACTTCAATTTCATGCTTCGCACATGTTTTTGCTGCCAAAGGGCGTTTTAAACCTGATTAGATTGTTATCTTGAGGCAGAAAAGTCTATTACCACTGTATTAAAAATGTCGTCTTTGAAGAACTAAATAAAACACATTTGCTTTAAGATTTCCCAAAACTCCTCTGACTACTGAGTTTCTTTGTTATTTATCCGACAGTCTTGTTTCACAGGCCTAGTCTGTTAAATAGACTTCAGTTCTTTCAAGTAAGTTCACCAGAACGAGAATGGGGCGCACTAGACCAGACTTATTTTATATAGTGAGTCTGGTACCCAGGGTATGGGAGCTGTTGATCAAGATTTATTTTGTCAAAAAGACACAGTTGATGTTGATGAATAAAGTTAACGCTAGAAAAGTGGTGTCGTGAAGAGTGGACCAATGCGGCTTAGCCCCCCTTGTTAAAATTCAGAGAGATTCTTGGGCCATGATCGTGAATTTTAATTTCCAGTACCGTGAAAGCATGATTTGCAATCATTTTACACGTGATTGCCTAATTAAGCATAGATACCTGGTATCCCCCATATTTAACATGAAAAAGGAATGAAACAAAGACTCATACACAACAGTGTTTTTTATAAATCAGTTTTCTATATCTGGCACACAATATTTACAGTTTTACTAACAGCACATACATTCGGCGTACCTAAACAAATGCCCCAGTGGACCTTCGGCGTACAGTTGAATAAAATGCACCCCAGATTTATTGAGAGAATTTTACTTTCTGAACAGAATGTGCATCTTCTTTGTTTCGAGTATTTTCAGTAGGCCATGTTTACACATCCAAAATGCAGACATTGCAAAGATATAGAAAGTTAGCTACAGAATTGATGAAAATAATAGACAAATGATAGAAATGTACCTAAATAAGTTAGTAAATAGATCAAATAAAATCATGCATAAAATGAACAGTTTTTTTCTTTTTATTTCATACAAAATGATAAAAAGACGGCCAAAAAGTTTTTTCCTCTGAAAAAGTGAGAGGGGCTTCAGCCCCCCCCCCCCAAGCCCCCTAGTGACGCCGTGTCTTCATTGTGCTTAAATTTGAAGAGCAAATGCTCGTTGCTTTTGTTATACAACTTGTTTTGTCTGTCGTGCATCGTGTTTGTGGTTCGTTATCGTTAATGAGGATGTCTTTCGATGTTTGCGTCGGTCCATTTTGTTTGTCATCGTGCCATCTCTATTTTAGTTGTTATTAGTCCATTTGCCGTTAATTTGTGTCATTAGGGTTTTGTGTGCGTCACTCATGTTGTTAAAAGCGTATGTTCTTTGAGTGCAAGTCCAGTCGAGTCGAAGTTATCGTTGAAAGAAGTCGTTATGTTGTAATCGTTGGTTGCCAGTAATTTATACTTTCACTATTGAAGAACCTTGGTTTAAAAAAAAACGTTATTTTACATTGGTGACCACGACGTGACGAATTCGCAGAAAAAAAAATGGAAATGATTTCAACAGAACAATTCAGAGAAATTCTGTTGGATATTATAAAGACCGTTGTATCTCACATGGCCGAAAGGGTGAGGTTGGCAGAGGAGAATGGGAGAAATTTCTTCGCGAATCGAACTAATGTCTATCGTGCTGAAGATGGCCAGCCCATTTGCTATTGTTGTTTGCGCGTTGGTCACGTTGCCAAATATTGTAGGGACAGGAAATTTTCTTTAGCATCCCAGGAGAAGTGTGATCAAAATGAACCTGTGATTGTTTACACTTTTAAATTAATCAAACTTGTCAGCAACATGCCTTGCTATCGCTTGTCTAGTTTCAGGGGGCGTGTCATTCCTGATTGTTTTTTATCCCAATGTCAGATAAGGCACCATAGGAGCATAGAATAGAAATAGGGTCTTTGGGCATGCATGCAGAAATCGGAATTAAGCTTCCCTAAAGACTGGAGTACACTAAACACTCATTTTTGGGTCATTGTATCTTCTCGGTATTGTTTGAGATGTGAAATGTATGTTACCTCTCTTGTTAAATGTATGAATACCTGCCTCTTTTAAAGAGTCCCTTTCTAAAACGCTTTTTCCGCATACACATTCAAGCGAGACATGGGCTAAAAAGAAGGCTGCAATGCAGAACTTTAATCGCTTTTGTACTTATTAAGGAACGGGAAGAATGCATAAGATAAGATATCGATGGTTAAGACCTGGTTTTAAGCAAGCCGTAAAAACGAATTTAACGCTGATAAATTCGCCTCTAATCACTGAGATTTGTACCCCATGTTTGTGTGGCTGCTTTGTGCCGTTCAGATAAGGACAAGGAACTATTGTAAACTGTCCTTACTCCTAGTCTACTATCTGTGGCAATTAATTATCTTTCCAACTATGATTCAGAGACTAA